GGTGGATTCGAATGCAGCTAGATTGTTTGCTATATATCGCTAATTTTTCTACGGGAATAAAGTTTACCTTCAACAACACTCTTCGGAAAAAGTCGATCATGACGAGATATTCTCTACTTGCCGCTCTTGTAGGAGGTGTGAAGTGCCTTAGCTCGTTGGTCATGTCAAGTTCCTAAAAAGGTAATCACTAAGCAAAGAAAGAGAGAGCGCTCATCATTTGAGCAATTTGAGGAAACCAACCACGAATGGAGGATGTGCGGGCAGAATCCAGTGTTCTCTTTGATTGTCTAAGCAAAACCTTAGCCCTTGTGCTGATTTGTAATTTGTGTCTACTTTTTTCGATACAAGACATTGGAGAGCGACGAAATTTCGTTTGACAGTGTATATCTGCTGCATAAGTGATGAACACTAAACAGAACAATTATGGAACGAGCAAAGATCATCAATAAGGGACTAACCAACATGGCAACGGAAACAGTAAGCTGTGAAATTTGCGATGTAGCGTTTACTATGTCCGCGATATCACCGCTCTGCGCTTTTTCAACAGCTTCTACAACAGGTGTGATAGTCGACCAGTCTATCGCCTCCGCCATTAGCGCTTCTCCATCTTTGAGGTGCTCCTAGAAGATTCTGCTAATTATCTGAAATGCCACCAAAACCTAGTTGAAGGCTTTCGTTTTCCATTTTTCACCTTTTCGGAGACTGCTCGCCATGATGGACCATACCTGGGTTTTTTAGCGCATGAAAATGGTGAAAATGAGCTTTTCTCAAAGCTTTCTAGAACATTCAGTTGAAAATACGCGTAAGTGGTGGAGCCCGAAACAGGGAAGCGGGGCGCGGAAGGCTTCCGGCGTAATTTTATTGATTGCGGACCTAGAAAGGAAAGCTCTAAAAAAGGCTCATTTTCGCTATCATGGGTGGAAAAGCCCAAATGGGGAGGGTTTATGCCGAAAAGGCCCCGAAAAGGTAAAAAACAGGAAAACGAAATTCTGCCGGAACACTGCCTTCAACACAAAAAACCTCTTAACTAGAATATACAAAATTCAAGGATCAAAAAGTAACAGCTCGAAGTAACATAATTTGAAACATAAAACTATAAAAAAAA